AAAAAAAATGATTACTGTCCCTTTGCTTCTACCTTCTGGTGATTATCGACTAAGAATGTATTGGATTTTTTCACATAGTTTCGAAAATTGTACCTTCGTAATTGAATTCGTAGTGCTAAGTAAATTTAATTATAAAAAAAAAACTAAATACGGGCAACCCATCTTACAATTTAAAATTGTAGATATTTCATGGCAATAATGATTTGATTGATGGAAGCGGTAGAATCTGGAACTGCTGGTGCATTTTGTTTGTTTCCAAACAAAATACACTTACGTCCGACAAATGCGCAGGAGAGGACGAATTCAATTATACGAAAAGAAAACTTTCTTCGTATATATATATATTTTGTTGTCAGGTGGTCGAGAAAATGAATTTTCCGTATCGAGAAAAGTTCGTTTTCGTGTGTAACGAAATTCCCTCAAGTCCCGTGTCGCAAGGCTCAATTTGGGAATTACTTAATTGTCGATATTGTCCTTAGAGGGCGCGGACCTAAGCAGAAAGCAATCTAAGTTTAAGTGGAATTGTCCTTTTTTTTCTCTTCTTCTTCCTTCCCCAGTCGAAGTTTTGCGAAACAGGACACACATTGAACGTGTATGTGTTTGCGTTGGGGAAAATAAATAAGGGCTGAAAATAACGGAAAATAAAAGAGAGAAAAAAAAGTTGAAACAGGGACGTCGCTTCCAGCGGGAATGGGATTAGAGTGAATTGCGGAGAAACAAGACGATGATGAGATTGTCCGGTTTTTTGCAGATAAATTTGGGAAATTTCATCTTCTCGAGATGGTGAATTTTCGATAGAGAAATCCCATACGTTTGTCCGTTTCAATTAAGACGTCTGAAATTGTGTTTGTTCTGCTCTCGACGGGTTACGAACCCGTTGTTGCCGACATGATTCGATAAACGGCGCTAATGGCGTTACGTAACGGTTACGTTAATGCAGGCTGACAAACTTGGCGAACGCTAATAACATGCGAAATTATACGTGAGGCGGCATTATAACGTGTAACGAGCGTAAAGGTGTATCAAATTTGCGTAGGTTGGCAACGTTTCGATGATGTAATATGTCATTCTTTCAGCGATTCTTATTGAATTATCCTGCGTGGT